AGTAGATGATTGGGTTGGTCTGGCTCTATCTAGTGGTCAGAGCCCTCATACCTGGGCACCTCACCTTGGAGGCTATGGCCAGTCTTAGTTGCTCGCTCCTTCAGCCAGGGCCAAAGGGCCAAGGTCACATTGTACAAACCATGATAATTATGTTAGACCTCTCAGAAGAAGGCTATAAATAGAACTTGACTCTTATGTTTTGTAAAGGAAGCTGTGAAAGCTTCCCTCCTAAGACCTGGCAAAAGTAGTTAGCATATTTTAAAAAAGATTTTTGTTTTTGCCATTATGCATAATTAAAGATCATAGGATTAAAGCTTCAGCAAATTAAAATATTTGCTAAGGGTAATTTCTAGCAGTGAAAGAGCAAGTTATGAAATTTAGATATTACTGGGGAAATTCAAGCATATTTTCCTTCATTCATGGCTTCCAGTTTATTTCATTAGGCCAGGATATAAAATTTAAAACACATTGTTCAGTACAACAGTAGAGTTATTAAATGAATCATTACTTTTTTGAGGGTCAGCACAAATCTGGTTCCTATGAGGCGGAGGTTGAAGTTGTCCCAGATGTCCAGCTTTTCCAAACTGCTGTGCCACTTCATCATGTCTAACATCAGATGACTACTCCTCCTCCACTCAGTACATTCCCTTCCATCTTTGGGTTCTGTAATTTGCTGCAACATCTCACAGAACTCACAAACTGTATTAAGGAAATGGCTCACGTGGTTGTGGAGGCTGCCAAGTCCCAAATCCATGGGTCAGGTGTAGGCTTCTCCTGACTCATGTGGCTGCAGAACCGAAATTGGAAGGCCAGACGACAGGCTACTGGCTCACAAGGCTGCAGAAGCTGGTGAATCTCAGAATTGGAAGGTCAGGCAGTAGGCCACTGGCTCAATCCCCAAGAACTGGAGGTCAGACGTTGATGAGCCAGATGCAGGATCCAGATGCAGAGAGAAAGCCCACTGCCAGAACATCCGTATATATACACTGGATGCAGGTCACACCTCAGGGAAGGGCATGATTTGAGTAAGGGTGGGACTTGAGTCAAGCCCTCCTGCGAGGTTGTAACTTAAGATACACCCTACACTAATCCTGCCTCATTAACATATACCCATACCTATTGCCAGCGAGTCAATTCTGACTCATAGCAACTCTATAGGACAGAGTAGAACTGCCCCATAGGATTTCCAAGGATTGGCTGGTGGATTTTCACTGCTGACCTTTTGGTTAGCAGCCAAGTTCTTAACCACTGCAGCACCAGGGTTCCCTTTAACATATTAAAAAAAAAAAAAAAAACCCAAACCCATCACTGTTGAGTCAATTCCAACTCATAGTGACCTATAGTACAGAGTAGAATTGCCCCCATAGGGTTTCAGAGGAGTAGCTGGTGGATTGAAACTGCCAACCTTTTGGTTAGCAGCCATAGCTCTTAACCACTGCACCACCAGGGAGGTCAGGATTTACAGCACATAAAATGGAGGATAATTAGAATACTTACATCAGATCACAAAATGAAGGAAAGCCACACAATACTGGGAATCATGGCCTAACCAAACTGACACACAGCACCAACCACCACACCTCGTTAGGGTTCCATACACCTTATGTGCATTGTGTGGGAGTCACAAAGACTGTGGTTAGAAGGACCATGTTAAGTAATTCACAGCACTGCAGTTGTGTCCAACATTTAGTTAGCAATATGCATATCCGTCTTCTGTATTTGTAAACATTTATTGAATATGTAAGAAGGGAGAATGTTAAGCTTCCATACCTTATCTATTAGATTATAAGCATGATTGAGTCATGTGTGCTTCCCTTCTAGTCCTTTAGCATCATATTATTCCTGGCGTACCAGGCACTCAATAAATGATGTTGCCTGATTACCCAGCCCTGATGCCAATTGAGAAGAAAGTGCTTATCGAATACTTTTTTCTATAACTATAGAATCAAGGACAAGTGATGCTTTTTTTTAAGATCTTTTATTTCTTAATTCTGTCTTCTCTGGGTCAAAATAATGGATTGTTATTATGCACTTTTGTGTCATTCTCTCTCATTTAAATATTTCCATTCACACTGTGTGTTAGCTGTATTTTTCACCAATGCAAGTATAAATATTCAGGAAAAATATATCTTTGGTTTGCTTTCGGGGTCAGGATTTTTTGGTTTTTATTCTTTCTTTCTTTGCAAGAGTTTCAGTAGTGTTTGAAGTCCTAATCAACATTTAGGCCTATTTTAATCCCTCTGCTTGGGATGTCAGGCTGTAGAACACTAATTAAGTTGATGAAAGACTACAAAACAAAATTAAAGGGACCTTTAAAGAGGCTGGGTGGGTGGGGGTTGGGGAATAAATCCTACCTATGAACTTTTTTGTAAGTAGCTGAATTTACAAGTGACTTTCTTGTCCTGTCAACTCATGAGCACACCCAGCCTGGAAAGATTAAATGCCTTAATCCCATGGCCTCTCAGCTGGCTAGTAGTTTAATACCGTACAATTAGAAGCTAGTGGCATTTTGATGTTTTCATATATTTGTGTAAGTTATAAATCTAAATTAACAAGCTGATTTTATATGTAGCTTTGAGTTCAGTGTCACTGTTATTCTACACAAACACAAGGTCGTGCAGTTATCTTTATCGTGGTAAATTATTTCCAGAGGTGACCAGCCGTTGGAATCTGTTAACAATATGGCTGCTCCACTTTGCTTTATAGATTCCTGAGGGATCACTCCTGATGCACCTTTCAGGCCATTTTGACTAAATCACTTTCTTTTTCTTTTCTAACTTTAACTCATAGAAATCTCATGGGATGTGGAACCCATTTTGAGAAACGTGTCAAAGCAACTTTTGAAATGTAAGAAGCTAAGCAATTAGTGTCAGATACTCCCTTGTGGAAAAAAAGATAAGAAAAATTAGTTAATATATGCTACAGAAGTAACTTAAGGAGATTCTGTACTAGTGGTATATTATATAAATGATTTTTTTTTTTTTTAAAGCAACACACTCCTCTATAGGAAAGATTTATGCCATCTTTGAGTTGTTAATAGGCAAGGGCACTGATTTTCATTCAGATTTGGAACTGAAACAAATCATCATAACATTTTTTTTCCTGTTATATCATGTGTATTCCAAAAGCTTTTCATTTTCTAAAGTATCTTTGGAAATTTTTGAGAATGAAGAGTATACCAAATGTAGTACATTTAGTAGAAAAACTAAGTAAAGCTCAGATACAGTCTCAGGATATTTTGTGGATTTCATATACCCAGTCTTTTAGAGGCTCATTGGTTTCAGTTTTTTGTGGTGTGAATTCAAATGGTTTCAGTATAGGTTTAAAATTTAGTAGACATGTGAGTACCTGCCAGGTGCCAAGCAGTGTGCTAGGTGCAGTCACACAGGCATCCTTACATACATCCTGTAAGGAATAATTATCCCAATTTTTCAGATAAGGAAAGGGAATCTCAAAAAAAAAACAAACTGACTCATCCACAAAAAAAACTGACTTATCCATGATTATGTGATTAATCATCAGCAGAGTAAGAATTATAAATCAGGTCATCTGACCCTCAAAATCAATTATGCTTACCAGTAAAGTTAATTTGTAGGAGAAAGTCTTGAAAACACTCCCTTATGCACTTTCTGTTGATTGTTGGAAGATCAGCAATCTGATTCATTAAAGGAAGATTTTGTTGCTGACTCATTAAAGCAAAACGATGAAGTGTGTTGGTTAATACCATGGGCTTTGGAGTAAGGCCAGTATGGGAGTAAACCCTGACTCCTCTGTAACAGAGAAATTTCATAACTTTGAGTCAGTTTTGTTTGTTTTTAACTTCTAAGTGTCAGTTTCTTCATCTACAAAATGATGGTAATAAAACATATTTTTGTAGGGTTTAGTGAGGATTAAGTATAATACTGAATGTAGAGCATGTAGCAGAATACCCAACAGGTCCTAAAGATTCTTGGTAGCTATTATTAGTAGTAATAGTGGTGGTACAGGAAGCTAATATATAAATTGGTCAAAGATAGATATTTATTATTGTGTTTGGAGACATACACAGACTTTCTTGTTAATAACATTGAAGTATTAATCTCACTAAAGATTTTAGTGATACTCAGCCTTTGTATAGTATTTATGACTTTATGTAATGCTTTTTAAGGTATTTTAAAATATGGAACCAGATTAGAACACTTTCAGATCATGCCCGTATTTTGATTACAGTTGCTAATAGAGTAGGGATAGTGGCATGAATAAGTTCTAGACAGTTGAAGAGCCCCCAACCCTTTTTGAAAATGTAAATACATATCATATATTTTGAATCATTGAAAAAAATTTATTTGACCAATTTACAGCAGAGAAGTTTGGTTTTAAAGGACTCTACACTGAGAATATACGAGATCAGTCTTCACACATACACATATGCATATACACATACAGTTAAAGACTGATCATATTAAAATAAGCTGAAATTTCTCAAAACATAGACATAACAATTTCATTTTTTATTTCTTGTAGGTATTTCAAAATACTACTTCATATGCATTTAGTCAGTATACATCAAAGTGTTTAAAGTGGTAGACTTGAATAGTCTACAGACTATGGAATCAACAAAGTATGAAGAACCTTATGAAAAATGTGAATTTTAAATAGTCTTTGTAGATTTAATGTTAGGAGGGTGAAATTATAAATGTAGGAATGACTCATTCTTTTAGGGTAAACTAAATTTCTGTTGTTGGGAACTGATTTTGGAAATATTTATATTAAATAGAATTAAACAGACTAAAAGAAAAATCTCAACATTTGTGAACATGAAAAGGTGATTTGTGTGTGTGTGTGTGTGTGTGTTCTAATTTATTGATATCATCATCATCACCCTCTTAATTAATCATCATCCTTTTAACTAAGCAATGAATTTTAATATCCTTTAATCTTCCGGTCTTCAGTATATGATCTGTTTTATAGCAAAAACATCTCAAATTTAAATTTAATTCCGTTTTCATTTCTTTTCTCAGATGATGAAACATGCTTGGTATAATTATAAACGTTACGCTTGGGGATTAAATGAACTGAAACCTATATCAAAAGAAGGCCATTCAAGCAGTTTGTTTGGTGAGTAGAATGTGCTTTGGTTTCTTAGTGACAGTAGCTTCTCTCCGATAAACACTGAACTTGTGGGTGGTGGAGGCGTTTTTGTAATACGATGATCCTCCAGACCATGTTGCTAGGAAACTTGCACACCTGATAGTGTTATCTGCAATGACTGTGCTTAGTGTGTCCTTTAAATAGAGCAGTGGCTACATATAGCATCATCTGTGTAACTTTAAAAATACGGATTTCTGGACTGCACCTCCAGAGATTTCATTTAATGGATATTGGGTTTAGCATCATGATTTTTGGCTTCCAGCATGATCTCCAATATAGGAACATTTGGTTGGCTCTTCCTGTTAGGTAAAAGCTGTGTGTTTATAGATAAGCTGGCCAAGACGGCCAGCGTGGTGATCTTCACTGTATCTTAGTGGTTCTTAACTTTGGCTCTAGGTTTCTGTTTTTTGTGCCATGGAAGAGAAAGTGAGGATGGAGTAGGTCAGTTATTTGAACTTCCATTTATCTATTCTTGCATGTTTTGCTGCATTTGATCCTTACAGCAACTGTCTGCAGTTGGTAGTGTGGGTGTTAATAACTGTTCCCATGTGGAGGTGGGGAAGCTAAAAAACAGAAAAATTAGATGGATCCTTTGGGTCACAGACCCACCCAGTCTCTTCTCACTGTACTTGATTTCTCACTTCTAAAAGTCTTGTCTATAAGTGACATGATGAAGGGGATGGAGTATTATTCCATGACTTCTCAATTCACCATAGAGGACATAACTTACCATGCTTTAACTGAAGGTGTTAAATTCTATCAATTAATATAATAAATGACAGTATTAGCTGGCATTTATTGAGCACTTACTGTGTGCCACGTGCCGTTTGTGCGTAATATCACTTAACCTCATTATTATGTACATTTTATAGATGAGAAAAATGAAGCTTACAAAGTAGCTTGCCCAGAGTTTCCCACCTACTATCTGGCAGAGCTGGAACTTGAACCTCAGGGTGACTGACACCAGAGTCTGTTCCTAATCACTGCCTTTGTTGGTTACCATTGAGTATGCTTCAACTCTTGGCAACTTTATGTATAACAGAAGGAAACATTGTCCAACTCTGTGCCATCTCCATGATCTTTGTTAAGTTTGAGCCTGTTGTTGAGGCTATTGTGTCAATCCATCTCATTGAGGGTTTTCCTCTCTACACTATGTTTTTCTCTTTATTTAGCACCTTCCATGTGTCAACTGTACTTCCCTCACTGGAGTTATTAAAACCAATTCCAGCCTTTGCAAAGCTCATGAACTCTAGTATAAAACATGTATGTGTAAACTGTGAATTATCAGAACACAAGGTGGATTAGTAGATGTTCGTATGAAGTAATGAGGACAGGGAGGGAGAGCTGGGAATAGTGAAGTAAGGAGGCTGGGTGGCTGATCACCGTGATACAGTATGGAGATGAAGAAAGCTTCAGCCTGGAGCAGTGGCAGTAAAAGTGATTTCAGACATTTCTAAAGTAGTGTTTTCAGGACTTGGTGACCAGTTAGCATGGGTGATGAAGGGAAGAACTCAAAGAAGGAAACTCTGAAACTTAATGCCAAATCAGAGGTCTTGGGGAACCCTGGCCAGTAAACTCAAGTATAGCAGCCACTACCAGGGTTTCAAATGTACGAATTGTTATTTCCATCTCAATTGTTTACATCATGGGACTGTGTTTATCAAAGACAAAAAGAAGTATTTAAAATTAGAAGGGTGTGTGTGTGTGTGGTGTTTTGTGTGTTGCTTTGTTTTACTCTTTGTATTTCCCACAATCTATCTGTTAAAACTTGTCCTTGGTATACTACCATTTCACATTTGTTTTTCCATACAATCTTTTTTTTTTTTTCCTTTACCTTGCCTCTTGTCTTTAACTTGTGTTCTTTCCTCATTCTCTCTCCTCCCTCCCTCTCTCCTTCTTTTTCCTCTCCTTTAGGCTGCAACAGTCCTAATACTGCTGAACTTCCTTAATGGCCATTAGGTCCCCTTTGGTAAAGATCTCCCGTTTACCAAAGGTTACTGAGGAAAAGTTCAGTCAATATTGAATCTAATTTGCTACTGAAATGTGAATTGCCTCTATTAATCTTTTATTTTAAACATATTAAAATTCCATTTAATTGAAACCACAAGTGTTTGGCTCCCAACCAAAAAATCACCTACTTTCTTAATTTCTTAGTCAGTTTGGTGACTGGCATAAGATAGGGTAATGAGTTTCTTTTCAGTAAACCATGAGTATTTAGGAATGCTGGGACCTTGAAGTTTTATCATTTTTATTTTCTTATTTTTTGTTATAACTTTTAAAAAATCTAATTCAATTTTTGCTTTTATCTTAATTAAATTTTCTTATACCATTAAGAAATCAGTTATATGATTTACCGTAATCTTTATAAAAAAGATCATTTGCTTCTCTGTTAATACAAACATTGATAGTTTTAAAATTATTATTGAGCATTAAAAACATACTCTTTTTACCTTTTTTTTAAATACACTTTTCATTGGATTTCCATAATCCATGTAAGAACTTTTTCTATTAAAAAAAAGCTTCAGGTATTAGTATAAGGAAATGAAACATTAATAATTTAAATGGTATTTATCTCCCTCTATCTTCAGATTAAAGTAGAATATGTAAAGATTTTCTTAGTATACTAATATCAATATATTGGAGCTTGTTACAAGTAATTATAAAGTTTTCCTTTTTACAGATGAGGAGAACTTTTAAATGACTTATGTACCCCACTCCTTAGTCAAGTTCCTTATCTATGAATAGCAAATAACCAAAACCAAACCAAACCTGTTGCTGTCGAGTTGATTCCGACTCATAGCAACCCTATAGGACTGAATAGAACTGCCCCATAGGGTTTCTAAGGAGCAGCTGGTGGATTCGAACTGCCAACCTTTTGGTTAGGAGCTGAGCTCTTAACCACTGTACCACCAGGTCTCCAAAAATCTGAAGCTGATACCATATTTCAATATGCACACTTTAAAATATCCCCTTCTCTTCCCTTGAATCCATAGTTCTTTCCAAAAAATAAACCAAAAAAAAAAAAAAATTGCTGTTGAGTTGATTCCAACTCATGATGACCCCATGTACGTCAGAGTAGAACTGTGCTTCATGGGGTTTTCAATGGCTGATTTTTCAGCAGTGGATCAATCACTAAGCTTTTCTTCCGAGGCACCTCTGGGTGGCCTTGAACTGTCAACCTTTTGGTTAGCAGCCAACCTCGTTAATCATTTGCTTCACCCAGGGTTTTCATCCAGAAAATCATATTTTAAAGAAAATTGGATAAAATGATAAATGTGAGGTTTTTTCTCTTTATGATTAGGTAACATTTAGAATACATATTTTTGAGAATTAGATATTTTAATATTCTGTTACTTGTAGTTTTCTAACGGTAATTTCTCAATTTGGTATTTTAAAGGAGTGTGCCAATAAATAGTTTCCATTTATATTTATAAACTTGGTCCTAGATTATCTAGAACACCAGTTATCTGTAGAAAATATAGTACCTACACTTTGAGCTGTCATTCATTGGGCATCACCAGAACGATTGTGAGCACACCATGAGGGACAGAGACATGAACAAGAATGACCTCTTTGTTCTAAAGGAGTTTACAGACTAAAAGACAAGCATACGTATAATTATAATACAACACAAAAGTGATGACTGCCAAAACACCATCAAGTCTTCATGTCAAGGGAGTTCAGAGAAAAAAAAAAACACAAAGCCCCAGGGGCTGGGTAGTTGGGTAGAGCGCTAGAAATCAGCCAGGACTTCACAGAGGAGGTGGAATTTCATTTTAGAGTAGTGGTTTCTTAGAGCCATCACTAAGCAATTTTAGATCTAATTATATTTAGATGGTTCTGCACAGGTGCACTTTGTGTAATTACATTAAAATAAATATGGGTGTTGCTCCTTTGTTTTAGGTCTATTACTTTCTTGCTAGAGAATGCAATCACAAATGAAATTTTTCTAAGAGATTTATTTCTACAGTTCAGGAGAAACTTTAAAGATATCAGCCTATAGCCTGTGATAATTTTTATTTTGGTTTTGGTGAAGTTTTTATTTTTCTTCCTCTGAAAAAATTTTAGACTGTGTTCAGTTTTACTGCTTAATAATAAATTCAGTATCAAACACCTCCCCTTTTCCAAGATGTGGTCAATTTGTATGTATGTACTTGTCAGAAGTATTTTTACTGAATATTTTCCTACTATTTTCAGGTAACATCAAAGGAGCAACAATAGTTGATGCCTTGGATACACTCTTTATTATGGGAATGAAAGATGAATTTCAAGAGGCAAAATCGTGGATTGAAAAAAATTTAGATTTTAATGTGGTAAGTGAAATAAAAGTTGCTAAGTCAATTCTTAAACGGAGTCCTGCTGGTGCAGTGGTTAAAGCACTCAGCTACAAACTGAAAGGTCGGCTGTTCAAATCCACTGGCTACCCTTCAGGAGAAAGATGTGATAATCTGCTTCTGTAAAGATTACAGCCTTGGAAACCCTATGGGTCAGTTCTATTCTGTCCCACAGAGTTGCTGTGAATCGAAATCTACTCGATGGCAGTGGGTTTGGCTTTTTTGGAATTCAGTTCTTAAATTTCAGTTAATGAGTTCTGTAGTGAGGCAAATTATACTGTGTTGTAGCCCAGCAGAAACAAGTAATGCAATTTGTAAATAGTAAGAATATTACCACGCTGTGTTCTTAACTTGCCTTTCCTTATCACTCAAATATGCGTCTTTTGTTTTTGGCAAATTAAAGGTAAGAGAAAATAAATTAATATTTATGGAGACCTACATGTTTCAGGTATTCTTGTTCAAGTCCGACAGCAAACCTACGATATGAGTATTGTTTTCACATCTGTACAGATTAAAAATCTGAGCCTCACAGGCTTTCTCCGCACCACACAACTAGTTGTGTGTCAGAGCTGTGATTCTGACACAGGTCTGTGTGGCTGCAGTGCTCGTGCTTTTATACTGAGGCATGGTGCATCCATCAGCAGTAACATCCACTTTCCCATAAATAAGGGGAAACTTGGAAACTTTGCTGATCATATACTTAGATCAATAAAAAATTTTTACAATATATGTATGACGTGTTTAAAATTTTTGTATTTGTACTCTCATTATTAGCAAATACCTCTAAACACATTGTATGCTAAGAGAAAGGCTCAGAATTAAGAATTGTGGACGCTTTAATTTTTTTTGTTTTTTAATCGTGCTTTAAGTGAAAGTTTACAATTCAAGTTAGTTTCTCATACAAAAATTTATATACACATTGTTATGTGACCCTAGTTGCTCTCTCCATAATGTGACAGCACACTCTTCCCTTCCACCCTGGATTTCCCATGTCCATTCAAGCAGCTCCTGTCCCTTTCTGCCTTCTCATCTCACCTCTGGACAGGAGCTGCCCATTTAGCCTCATGTATCGACTTGAGCTAAGAAGCACTCTCTTCATGGGTATCATTTTATGTCTTACAGTCTAGTCTAATCATTGTCTGAAGAGTTGGCTTCGGGAATGGTTTCCGTTCTGGGATAACAGACAGTCTGGGGACCATGTCTTCTGGGGTCCTTCCAGTCTCAGTAAGACCATTAAGTCTGGCCTTTTTACTAGAATTTGAGTTCTGCACCCCACTTTTCTCCTGCTCTGTCAGGGACTCCCCATTGTATTTCCTGTCAGGGCAGTCACTGGTGGTAGCTGGGCACCATCTAGTTCTTCTGGTCCAAGGCTGATGGAGTCTTTGGTTTATGTGGCGCTTTCTGTCTCTTGGGCTAATATTTTCCGTGTGTCTTTAGTGTTCTTCATTCTCCTTTGCTCCAGGTGGGTTGGGGCCAATTGATGCATCTTAGATGGCCACTCACTAGATTTTAAGACCCCAGACGCCACTCACCAAAATAGGATGCAGCACATTTTTTTAATGAACTTTGTTATACCAATTGATTTAGATATCCCCTGAAACCATGGTCCCCAGACCCTCGCCCTGGCTACTCTGTCTTTTGAAGTGTTCTTAGATGGCCACTCACTAGATTTTAAGACCCCAGACACCACTCACCAAAATAGGATGCAGCACATTTTTTTAATAAACTTTGTTATACCAATTGATTTAGATATCCCCTGAAACCATGGTCCCCAGACCCTCGCCCTGGCTACTCTGTCTTTTGAAGTGTTTGGTTGTATTCAGGAAATTTCTTAGCTTTTGGTTTAGTCCAGTTGTGCTGACTTCCCCTGTATTGTATGTTGTCCTTCCTTTCACCTAAGATAATTCTTATCTACTATCTAGTTAGTGAATACCCCTCTCCCTCCCTCCCCTCCCTCTTAACCATCAAAGAATGTTTTCTTCTGTGTTTAAATCTTTTCTTGAGTTCTTATAATAGTGGTCTCATATAATATTTATCCTTTTGCAACTGACTAATTTCACTCAGCATAAAGCCTTCTAGATTCATCCACGTTATGAGGTGTTTCACAGATTCATCCTTTTTCTTTATCATTGCATAGTATTCCATTGTATGAATATACCAAAATTTTATCATCCATTTGTCCGTTAATGGGCACCTAAGTTGTTTCTATCTCTTTGCTATTGTAAATAGTGCTGCATTGAACACGGGTGTGCATATATGTATTGGTGTGACAGCTCTTATTTCTCTAGGTATATTCCAAGGAGTGGGATAACTGGATCGTATGGTACTTCTATTTCTAGCTTTTTAAGGAAGCGCCAAATTGATTTCCAAAGTGGTTGTACCATTTTACATTCCCACCAACAGTGTGTAAGTGTCCCAGTCTCTCCACAACCTCTCCAACATTTATTATTTTTTGGATTAATGCTAGCCTTGTTGGGATGAGATGGTATCTCATTGTAGTTTGGATTTGCATTTCTCTAATGTCTAATGATTGTGAGCATTTCCTCACAATGTGTCTGCTAGCTGCCGGAATGTCTTCTTTGGCAAAGTGCCTGTTCATATCCTTTGCCCATTTTTTAATTGGCTTGTTTGTCTTTTTGTTTTTGAGGTTTTGCAGTATCTTGTAGATTTTAGAGATTAGACACTGATCAGATTTGTTGTAGCCAAAAATTTTTTCCCAGTCTATAGGTTGTCTTTTGACTCTTTTTGTGAAGTGTCTTGATGAGCATAAGTGTTTGATTTTTAGGAGCTCCCAGTTACCTAGTTTTTCTTTTGGTGTTTGTGCATTGTTAGTACTGTTTTATATTCTGTTTATGCCATGTATTAGGGCTCCTAGCATTGTCCCTATTTTTCCTTCCATGATCTTTATTATTTTAGATTTTATATTTAGGTCTTTGATCCATTTTGAATTAATTTTTGTGCATGGTGTGAGGTATGGGTCTTGTTTCAGTTTTTTGCAGATGGATATCCAGTTATGCCCGTACCATTTGTTAAAGAGACTGTCTTTTCCCCATTTATTGGGTTTTGGGCCTTTGTCAAATATTAGCTGCTCATAGGTGGATGAATTTATGTCTGGATTCTCAATCCTGTTCCATTGGTCTATGTATCTGTTGTTGTACCAGTACCAGGCTGTTTTGACTACCGTGATGGTATAATAGGTTCTAAAATCAGGTAGTGTGAGGCCTCCCACTTTATTCTTCTTGTTCAGTAATGCTTACTTATGCAGGGCCTCTTCCCTTTCCATATGAAGTTGGTGATTTGTTTCTCCATCTCATTAAAAAATGCCATTGGAATTTGGATCGGGATTGCACTGTATCCGTAGATTGTTTCGGGTAGAATAGGCATTTTCACAATGTTGAGTCTTTCTATCCACGAGCAAAGTATGTTTTTCCACTTATTTAGGTCTCTTTTGGTTTCTTGCAATAGTGTCTTGTAGTTTTCATTGTATAGGTCTTTTATATCTCTGGTTAGATTTATTCCTAAGTATTTTATCTTCTTAGAGGCTATTGTAAATGGTATTGATTTGGTGATTTCCTCTTCAAAGTTCTCTTTGTTGGTGTAGAGGAATCCAGCTGATTTTTGTATGTTTATCTTGTATCCTGATACTTTGCTGAAATCTTCTGTTAGTTCCAGTAGTTTTCTTGTGGATTCTTTGGGGTTTTCCTTGTATAAGATCACATCATCTGCAAATAGAGATACTTTTACTACTTTCTTACCAATTTGGATGCACTTTATTTCTTTTTCTAGCCTACTTGCTCTGGCTAGGACCTCTAGCACAATGTTGAATAAGAGTGATAATAAAGGACATCCTTGTCTGGTTCCCATTCTCAAAGGGAATGCTTTCAGACTCTCTCCATAGGATGATGTTGGCTGTTGGCTTGGTATAAATGCTCTTTATAATGTTGAGGAATTTCCCTTCTATTCCTATTTTGCTGAGAGTGTTTATCATGAGTGGGGGTTGGACTTTGTCAAATGCCTTTTCTGCATCGATTGATAAGATCATGTGGTTCTTGTCTTTTTTTATTTATGTGCTGGATTACATTGATTGTTTTTCTAATGTTGAAGCATCTCTGCATATCTGGTACAAATCCCACTTGGTCATGGTGAATCACTTTTTTGATATGTTGCTGAATTCTGTTGGCTAGAATTTTGTTGAGGATTTTTGGGTCTATGTTCATGAGGGATATTGGTCTGTAATTTTCTTTTTTGTGGTGTCTTTACCTGGTTTTGGTATCAGGATTATGCTGGCTTCATAGAATGAGTTTGGTAGTATTCCATCCTTTTCTATGCTCTGAAATACCTTTAATAGTAGTCGTGTTAACCCTTCTCTGAAAGTTTGATAGAATTCTCCAGTGAAACCATCAGGGCTGGGGATTTTTTTGTTGGGAGTTTTTAAATTACCTTTTCAATCTCTTCTTTTGTTATAAGTTTATTTAGTTGTTCTACTTCTGTTTGTGTTATTTTAGGTAGGTAATGTGTTCCTAGAAATTTGTCCATTTAGGTTTTCAAATTTTTTAGAGTAAAATTTTTCATAGTATTGCATTATGATTCTTTTAATTTCAGTTGGGTCTGTTGTGATATCACCCATCTCATTTCTTATTCAGGTGATTTGCTTCCTCTCCTGTTTTTCATTTTTCAGTTTGGCCAGTGGATAGTCAATTTTGTTGATCTTTTCAGAGAACCAGCTTTTGGTCTTCTTAACTCTTTCAATTGTTTTTCTATTTTCTATTTTATTTAATTCTGCTCTTATTTTTATTATTTGCTTTCTTCTGGTGCCCAAGGGCTTCTTTTGCTGCGCTGTTTCTATTTGTTCGAGTCGTAGAGTTAATGTTTTGATTTTGGCCCTTTTTCTTCTTTTTGGATGTGTGCATTTATTGCTATAAACTGACCTCTGAGCACTGCTTTAGGTAGGATGTATTTTCATTCTCATTTGATTCTAT